TGTAACATTCCATATGAATATTACTATTCAACAAACAGACTTCATATAAACACCATAACGAACTTTCTTTTACTTTCACACTATCCCTTGTTCCCCAGATGAGGACGGGTTCCCTTCTGAGTCTGGTTCCTCTCAAGGTTTCTTCCTCATATCATCTCAGGGAGTTTTTCTTCACCACCGTCTCCACCGTCTCGCCCAATAGGGATAAATCTTGGATTCAAAACCTCAGCACTCAAAAACAAAACAATCAACAATATGTAGAACTGCTATTGAGGCATTAGAGCAAATGGTCTCATGATTCCGCCATCTATTGGTTTGGAGGATTCATAAAATATAATTTATAATAATAATAATAATAATAATAATAATAATAATAATAATAGTACACTTTATTTTATAAAGTGCCTTTAAAAGCACCTTCTCAAAGCACTGTACATGAAATAAGCAGTCCACAGAATGTTTTAAAATAATGATAAATAAGAATAATAAGAATAATAATAATAAGAAGAAGAACAGTAAGTAAACATTAGTAAGCAAACGCTAGTTTTAAAAACTATGTCTCGAGTTGAGCTTTAAAAATGTCAAAGGTCTGAGCTTCTCTGAGTTCAGGAGGAAGAGAGTTCCAAAGTGAAGGAGCATAGACAGAAGAAGCGCCGTCACTCATAGATTTTAATAGGATTGTGGAACAGTTAACAGGTTCCACTGTGAGGAGAGCAGAGATTTGGGGTGTAATGGATTAGCAAAGGAGATCATTAATGAGGCCATGTAATGCTTTGTATGTCAGGATGATCATTTTAAAATCAACACGGAACCTGACCGGGAGCCAGTGCAAGGACTCCAGAACAGGAGTAATATGATCACATTTCCTGGTCTTCAGCCAGGATCCTGGCGCCAGAGTTTTGTACGTATTGGAGCTTCTTGATTGTGGATTTAGAAACTCCGGCTAAAAGGGAGTAACAGTAATCTATCCGAGTGACAACGAATGAGTTAATCAGTTTTTCAGCTAAAGAGAAATTTAGAGTTTGTTTGATTGCGCATTCATTTCTGCGATGGCAGTATCGCATACTCCTGGAAGGACTGACTAATGTCACTCATCTATAAGCATGGACATAAAGTAAACTACAGCTAATTACAGCTTAGTGGTTAGCACGTTCGCCTCACACCTCCAGGGGGTTCGATTCCCGCCGTGGCCTGTGTGTGCGGAGTTTGCATGTTCTCCCCGTGCTGCGGGGGTTTCCTCCGGGTACTCCGGTTTCCTCCCCCAGTCCAAACTAATTCATGGTGGGCTGATTGGTGTGTCTAAAGTGTCCGTAGTGTATGAATGGGTGTGTGAGTGTGTATGTGATTGTGCCCTGTGATGGATTGGCACCCTGTCCAGGGTGTACCCCACCTTGTGCCCCATGCTCCCTGGGATTGGCTCCAGGTTCCCCCATGACCCTGAAAAGGAGTAAGTGGTATAGAAGATGGATGGATGGACACTCAATATGCTAAAAACAATTTTTAAAAAATGTAGTGGTACAAGTTAAGGTGTTCTAGCTTGTTGTATGCAAATATGTCTTTTCTTTAAGACTGGGCTGAGATTATTTTTTATTCCGAATCCGATTGAAATGCACTGTTAAGTTATAAGTCGCGACACCCACCGATGCTATATTGTAACATTAAATTATAATGATAACGAGTCTTTATTGGTCACGTATACATTACAACACAGTGAAATTCTTTTCTTCGCATATTCCAGCACGTTATTAAGTTGGGGTCAGAGTGCAGGGTCAGACGTGATACAGCGCCCCCTGGAGCAGAGAGGGTTAACGGCCTTGCTCAAGGGCCCAACAGTGGCAGCTTGGCTGCACCGGGGTTTATGGTTTTTTAAATGATTCTCTTTAGCAACTCAACAACTGTTACATCTACAGTCAAAACAGGTCTATGAATGTAAGTTCATTAAGAATCATCACTAGTTTTTGTTTTTTCACTACAGGTCTCAGTACAGTTCCTCATTTAAAATGGCAAATTAATAAATTATCAGATTCATTAAGAGTGTATATAATTTGGAACATCATGGGCAAGAAAACATTATTATTATTATTATTATTATTATTATTATTATTATTATTATTATTATTATTATTCAGAATGGTCAGTGCCAGGCAAGAGAAAGTTGGAAGAAAAGTTTGTGAGAAATGGATGTATTGCTGCCACAGTGGAATAGGCAGACAACCATCTGTCTCCAAACCTCCACAGTACAAACATTGTGTTATAGCTCTGACTCATACACACACACACACACACACACACACACACACACACACGCATGCACCTGACAGCTCAAACTATTACATCTCAGCTTGAAGTCTTGCCAGAGGCCCAGAACAAAAGAGGGCATGTCCACCTCGTGCAGTGATATCATAGGTACTTGGAGCTCCTCTTAATACTCTGTCTCTCTAACACAAACACACACACACACACACACACACACACACACACACACACACACACACACACATGAGCACATGCACACACAAACTGTTTGTGGGAAGCACAATAAGATCTGCTCACCATACAGCGAGGCTGACAGT